ATAATAAATATCTTTTAATGGATATACAATATTTCATGTCATGACTACATCACAATTATTCAATTTGTTATTGTTAGACCTTCAGTTATCAGTTTTTAATCCATTATCCATATTGCCTCAATGAAAATCTTTAGAGATAAATCCTTATAGGCAAAAAGAATAAATTCTTAAAATCGGAAAGCTTGGTAAAAATATATGATTTGTTGTAAAAGGCTTTTAGTATACACTGGCAAATTGCCCTCCAGGAAAGTTGTACCGGTTTACATTTCCAGTGATTTGCATCTATACATAAAAAGCTTAAAAAAAAAAGAAAAAGTACAGTTTGGACCTGTTGGGGTAAAATTACTCAAGTTAGATGCTGTGGTCATTGGGAGTGGGGATGTGGCATTTGAATATAGAAATTTCTAAGCCTTAATGTATTGAGAGGAATTTCTGAAAAAGGTCAGAGGAACATTCGATCAGTTAGTAGATATTCTCATAACTTTTACTTGTAAAGTGCAGTGATAAATACAGTGACAGCATTGAGGCTGCTTTATTGCAAAATCAGAAGTCTGACATTTGCAGTAGAGGTAATGTTAATATTGACAGCAACGATAGGAAAAGAAAACATTTATTGAGGGCTTAGTATATACCTTGTAGATTCTAAAACGTAAATTAAACAGTGATAACTTGCTTAAGAAATCTGTTGGGAAGGATATTTCTTAATGAGAAGTCCACCTTAGCAGTGTTAAAACAAATTGTAATTTAAAAAGTTTATCAGGTGCTTATTATGCACAGTCTCATTTAAGCCTGATGCATGGATGTGGTCATTATTTCCAAATTTACAGCTGCAGGAAGTAGTGTCAGAGTCAGACCTTGAGGCAGGGTTTATACTGACTCCAAATCGCCCACTCAACCTCTGGGAGTGTACCTGACAGTGTGGAAGGTGCCACTGTGATGCCACTTGCTCCTATCAGGTGAGCCGGGGACAGATTATAAATAACTTTGATTCTGTGGTACAGATGTTGGACTCTTATATTATCCCTGTTATTCTATCATGGCTGGAAGCAGAAGTCCATAACTGTCTTTTTAATAGATGCACAACCTGTCATCAGTGGTTGTTCTTTTATCTTCTTATTTTGTTCCCTTAGTTAATACTCGTTTGCTTGCTTTCTTTTACTATTTTTTTCTTTCATAAACAATACAACGAGCATCTTAATGGCTGTAGTTTTTCACTATTTTGATTAATTCCTTGGAGTGATTCCTAGAAAGTAAGATCATTGAATCAAAAATTATAAATACTCTTAATATATTTTGAAGTATATTGCTATTTAGTTTCCAAATATACCTTCCAATAGCTTTCCAAAATTACCAGTTTTCAGTTCCATACCTATATATATGAGATATAAGTTTCACCAATATTTAGATAGCTGTATTTTAAAAAAAATCTATATCATTTGCTTATTTTAAATTTCTTTGAATTCTAGAAATGTTGACTATGTTTTATATGTATTCTGGTATAGTTTTTCTCTTTGTATATTTTGCTTGCTAGTCTAGTAGGGCGTCAGTATTTTTCTTGGAATAAAGACATTTAATTGTGGCAAATATTTTTTATAGTCTGTTTGCCTTTCACATTTTTAAAAAGTATAATTATATCTGTCCATCTTTTGTGATTCTTCTAACTGAAGTTTTAGAAGTCCTCTCCAGGTTCGATAAATATTTATGTTTTTTATTTAAAAAATTACATTATAATTTTTCTTTCAACAAATATTTACCTAACACCTACTCTGATCCAGTCATTACACTAGATTTTGGGGACATGGTAGTGACCAAGATAGACATGACCTCTGATCACATGGGAATAGGAGAAAGTGAATATTTGCGAGGGCTATTAATCTAATTCTAGCCTCCTACATGGTAGGTGAGAAGTCTATTAATTAAGCACCCATGATGCCTATTCTGTCATCTTTTAGAATTTTTTTTTGGTACAATAGTGTGAAATTATGGTTTAAATTAAGTGTTTTCCAAATTGCCACCTTTTATTACAACATTGTTTATTGGATAGGTGTGTCCCACCCATTGATTTGTGATATCTTCATGACCTGGAGTCTTTATAATATGCAGGCAGTATAACGTATGTGTTCTGGAGTCAGGCTGACCTGTGATTAGATCCTGGCTCTCTACTTATCAGCCAAATGACTTCTGACATGTTGTTTATCCTATTTGAACTTTTGTTTCTTCATCTTAAAGTAAGGTGATAATATTATTTACTATAGGATTATTGTGGCAATTAAGTGCAAAAGCGTTACCACTGTTTAAAAAGATACTGCATTATTATATAATTGTCAGGTGATCTTGAAGAAAAATTGCCCTATACATTATAATGACATTTTTCTACTTAGGTGAAAGGTACAAACATAACCAAAAAAAGCAACATTTGGTATGGAAATGAGTTGCATCAAGAAAAAGCTCATTCAGCTAGGTAGTTTTCGTTTAATTTTTTGTTTCTGAGCTAGATGCAAGCATGTCAAATCATTGTTGGAGGGCATGTGCTTTTCCATTAGCTCAGTGGAATTGAATTTCCAGAGCATGTAGGTGAATGGAGTGTTGTATGAACCTGCATGACTTTTGATAAAAAAGCACAGATCTCCATCGGGTTCCTAGATCCAGACTTCCTTGCCTCTCAGTCGCCAGGTGCATTCCTGGTCTCAGGCCTCATCATACTTTAATTTGTTTCTTTTGTCCTGATGTCAACTTCATACCTATTTTCATTTTTGCTTCTGGTCACAATCATCGGTCTTGGCTTATTCTGCTCCTTGATATGTTAGGCTCCTTTTCTGGATTTTTCTTCCTTTTCTTAGCAAGATCCCTTGCATAATTTGCAAATCCACAGCAGGCAGAAGTAGCAGAAGTGGCAAGGAACACTGGGAAGGTGGAATGGGAGGCTGGAGAGGGCTCTGTGTCCAGTGCCCACCACCTCATGGTTCTCACTCTTCCACGAAAGTTTTGCAGGGAACAGAGGTGACGTGAAGTTGCTGTCATTCTAAAATGAATGTGTTTTTTTCTTCTTCAGTCCTAATTTTAGATTGTTTCCAACTCTGATCTGTTCGTTAGTTGGCATCTCAAATGTCGATAAGAAAGAAATGGTTCTGGGGAATGATTTCGATCTGTTTGTAGCCAATATAATTAGGAGGAAGTCTTGGAAGCAGCGGAGGTCAGTGGCTGTGCCAGGGTGAAAATCGTTATTTTTTAAGTGTGACGTCATCTCTGAGCAAAGTGAAATGAGCCAGAAGACAAATGAGACTGTAGACAGGTATGCCCGATTCGTTTCAAAGCCCCAGAAACACATTCAACCTTACGTCTGCTCAACTCTGATTTTCAAGGAGAGAGAGATTTTTTGACAAACTACATCTTCCCTCAGCTTAATGAACTCTGCGGTTCCCGGGGCACACATTTCAAAGCTGTGGACCTGAGGTGGTCAGTGTCAGAGGCCCAAACACTCTTAGTGTTCAACCTCTTTAGACAGCATTTTTGTCTCCGCTCCCAACATCTGAAGCTCTGTCTCAACTTTGTGAACAGCTGCTTTTCCTTCTTCATCTGCATGCTGGGTCAGACATATGGGGACTTTCTCCCTGACTGCTCACCTTTCATGTTCTCCAAAGCCACTGACTTGTCAAGTTTATCCATAGTGCAACAGAATCTCTATGTTGCTGCAGAAAAACAAAACAAAACAAAACCAAAATACAAAACCCAAACCAAAAACGGTTATCCTTGGGTCCTGGAGAATCCCAGCTGAAGTCTGATGGAGTTTGAAATCATCCAAGTGGCATTTCTGAATGAGTCTCAATTTCAATATTTTTGTGTTAGGATCAGAACCATGCTGCTGAAAGCTTTAGATAAAGAAAAAGAGGAGAGGCTATTCTTAGGTTCTTTGCTGAATGATGGGGAAAAATAAAGGATTGGAAAGCTTAAGGCCAAGATTATTAGCGAAGGGCTCCCTGTCAGTTTTATAGAGATGAGGTGAACTGATTTTCAAGGACCAGTTGGTTGTGATAGAAAAACTTTACCCAGCCACTTTGATGACTGAAAATGTAGGTTAGTAAATATGGAGATAGCTAAATCTATTATCAACATAAGGTTAATGTATTTTGTGTGTCTTCCTTGTGGAAGCAATTTTAAAATGATTAAAATATTAAGCATTTAAAATTGTTGCCTTATTCCTATAACATGTATTCCTCCATTTGAAGATTTTTGAAACTGAAAATAAGAGCAAATAATGGATCATGGAAGATTATTTAGGAAGTTAAAGAGCTCATGGAAGATCTAAAATATCTGGCAGTTGTAGATATTTTCTGTAGATCTAGAGCAGAGGTTGTCATCCAGGGCTATTTTGCCCCCAAAGGGACATTTTTACATGTCTGAAGACTTTTACAGTGTCATGGTTGGGGGAGTGCTAATGGCATCTAGCGGGTGGAGGTCAGGGATACTCTTAAACATCCTACAGTGCACAGTACAGCCCCCCGCATAATACATTATTCAACCCCAAAAGTCAGTATTGCCAAGGTTGAGAAACTCTGATCCAGAGAGATGAGAACTGACTTTTATTAATTATCTGGTGCCTTGTGTATGTTATCATATTACTCTTCAAGGTCAGCCCTGCAAGGTAGGTACTATAATTCTGTTTATAGTAGATGAGCAAATGCAAGCTGCTGTATAACAGTGAAGTAACTCACCTAATGTCATAATTAGTGTGGGATCATTCCAGGCTTTGAACCCAGGTCCTTCTGACTCAAAAATCCATGCTTGTTCTTCTTCACCCTTACTGCTCAGGAGGTACTCATCCAACGACAAGTAGCCTCAGCATCACCTGGGAGCTTATTAGAAATGCAGGTTCCTGGGCCCCATTTAGGTCTGCTGAATTAGAATCTGCATTTTAGTAAGATGACCAGGTGAACTGCATGCACATTAAGTTTGAGAAGCACTGCCTGACATGATTACCTTATTTTTGAAAATAATATCAGGCGGACATGTACCAGATTTAAAAGGGAAGATCGATATCAAAGTATGACAGTGATTCTTCACCTAGACAGACTTCAGGAAGGATCTGCGATGCCCTTAATTATGTGAAGAACAGAATTTTTATAAGGTATGTGGATTTTGGGGGGTAAGAAGATGGCCTGTGTCTTTGATTAGATTCTCGGCTCAGTGACCCCCCCCAAAAAAAGTTATGAATAACTGTTGTAAGGGCCCAATTAATGTGGGAATGCAAAATGATGGCAGGTGGTGCATTTTTAAATGCTTTCAGGGGCCAAGCAGTAGTCCTTGTAATATGATAGGGAGCAGGTGGATCGGTGGTGAATGGGAGAGAGCTGACCCAGCCAACGTCACTCCAATGCAGTGTTGGGTGGGTGGGGTGGCGCAGGGGCAGGTGAAATGCCACCTGAGCTGGTCAACCAAAACTCTGCCAACAAGCCAAATCCTTTCAGAGCCCTGGAAAAGAACATTGTATCAGGCATAATTCTTTTCGTTTTAAGTGACTCAACCTAGCTTCAAAAAAAGGAGAATTGATTCACTTGCATAACTTTAAAGTCCAGGATTAGGTGTGCCTCAGAGCAGGCTTCCTCTGGTGGTTCACATGATGTTACCAGGCCTTGGTTTTTCTCACTCTTTCTCAGTGTGGCTCTGCTGCCCTGATGTTGCCCCGACTCTTTGCCTCCTCCATCATGGAAGAAAGATGGCTGTAGCAGCTCGGGGTTCAAATCCAGCAGAAATGACTCACAGTCTTAGCATTGAGTCCAATGTCTGAATAGCCTGACCCGGACCAAATTCTTGGATCAGTGGTCTGACTCAATCACTGGTGCCAAGAGAACGTGATGCTCTGATGGGCTAATCCTGGGTCATATACCACTGCTGGAGCTGGAGACGGAGTCGGACTCACTGGAATAACAGGAATTGAGAATTGGGACGGGGTGGGATCTCAAATGATAATCTGGGGCAGTTACTGAAAGCAGGGTAGCATGAATGCATGTTGGGAGCAAAAAAATATCGTGATTATTTACACATTATGCACAGAGTAAATAGCTAATGAGAATGAATAATAACAAATGGGTTATTTATTATATACATTTGGCTAAAGCCTGAAATATGGTTAATGGTGATATTCTTCAACTAATCTCAATCTGAATTGTATCCATTGATTAATATTTACTAGAATGTTTGAGAATCAAGCCTTTCTGTGTATTTGGATTAGGGACAGATTATTTCTCCATAGTATTCTCCTTAGTCTTTGATTTTGGTTATTATTGGAAGGTTAACTAGTTTTAGACTTTATTTTTGAGTGTATATTATGTAGGCTGAATATCTGAATTAGAAGGTACAGAGTGGATGGATTCTTTAGAAAGGAGTGCTAAATTATTTTCCTTTTGGATCTTCAATACTCTTTAATCACCCAAGTCATTCCAAATTCTCACAGCTTGTGTATAAGAAGCCATTTGGGCAGCTGGTAGTTATTGTAAGATAATGTAGCACCATCAGTTCATGCTTTTGACCCTTAGAAGCACTTCGGAGTCCTTGGAGATACTGAGATTAGTTGGTGAGATTCTAGTTTAGCTCAAGAGACCCATTGGACTGTGGGGTAATCCAAAATTCTGTCTAAGATTTTGAAATTTGAAGTTTACCTAGGTCAGACAGTAGGTCCTCCATGTCTTTTCTGGCCATAATGTGAATCACGGAGCAGCCCAGTTAACTGTGGAGGCACAAGGTGAGTATCTTGGGAACTTCCAGGCTAATCTACCTGGTGTACTTTTTCCTGCAGAACAGACCCTCCCACCCCTGCTCATCCCATTAAACAAACAAATGAACACTTCCTGGGGAATATAAGTGTCTCCAGAGATAGGAGTGTATTTTGGCAGTCCAGAACACCTTGATGGTAGGCCGTAAGTTTGGGATCACAGTAAGGAATCAACACTGTAAGCAATCTCAGAGATGATCCGACTTCACAGTAAGGATTGACATTGCCCCTTATTTTGCCAGAGAGAATAAGGGACTTGCCCAGTGGTGAAGTTGCAGTCATACCCATGTTTGTCATTGTATTAGGGCATCTTACCCGAAAAATACACCACACATAACCCACAAGAGTGAATTAGGTATCTTCAGTCTTAGCTAACGATCTGAAAATGTGAGATAATATATGTAGCAAATCTAAATTTTTTCTCTTGTCATTCTGAGGTCATGAAATAACTTGGAATCAATCCTAAATAGGATTATATGTACACATAGCTTTAGGAAGATTAAGTTGCTTGCCTATAGTTTCCTTTTATGGGACTATAGAATGGTCTCTGAAATATGGTGCCAATGTAGAAAGATGGTGATACAGATACAGAAGGGTAGATGCCTTCCTGGGCATTTATAATAACCATGTGTAATTGAAAACGTGAAACTTCAAAATTAAGATATTAAAACTTATCTTTTTGACTGTAATAACTACAAGCTCCACTTTAAATGTTCCTATCATGAAGAGTTTACTGAGAAGTGCCAGGAACTATTTTATTTCCAAGAAGTTAAACAGGTCCTTTGACATATTGGAGAGGTTGGCTTTAAAGGATGTGGAATTTGATTTTAATAATGCAGCAGCAGGTTGAAGATTAGACTCTGTGCTCAGGTTAGACGCAAAGAAATCCCAAGCCTTTCAACTGCACTCAAGGAAAAGAGCCTGACTTTACTAAAAATTATTCCTCAAATTTGGAGTATGTTCCCTCACTTCCACCATTCTGTGCCCACCCTTTTCTGCATGAGAGGCCCCCTGAAAGCCATCCCTGGCTTAGAATTTCCTGATTAGATAGCACTCTGCATTTGCAAAGCTTTCCTAGCTATTTCACAAACTTTCTTCCAGTCTCCTCAAGAAGATTATAAACTTCTGGAGGGCAGGGTGTTCACTTTCCTTCCTGCAGACCGAATTTGGTCTAAGTAATTCCAGACAGTGGTGGAATGACTTTACAGAGAAGAAATTAGATTAGGAAATATGACGAGGGCCTCTGTACAGTGTTGTATATTTAACAAAGAGCTTACATATACATCATCGGCTCATTATTATAAAGACGCTTAGCCAACACTAACTAAATGTCTACTATGGGGCCATATCATTATTTGTGTTTGTGTATGAGGAGTAGAGTTACCTTATCCAAAAGTATGTGCTCCTTCATGTTTTAGTCAGTGTCCTCTACATTAAAACCCCATATCTTTTCTTACCCGGGGTGGTGACATACTCTGTTCACCACCCACAGGCACGAAGAGGCTGAGGCGTGAAGTAAGAACTGGGATTGTCTCTGGTGTCCCTCTCAGTCTCGTTTCTAGAAGTAGGGAGGTCCTTGGAACAGTTTTATTTCTTCCATCCTCATCCTTCAGTTCTTAGCACAGATTTTATTTATTCTGTGAGAGCTTTGTGGTTCGAAATAAACCCACAGCGGTTGGATGGCTCAGGGCCGTCGTCCACCATCTCTGCACCCAGCTCAGCACCCAACTCAGCGCCCACGAATCCAGCTCACTGGGGCACAGAGCTGCTGACATTTTTATGGTTCTGGAAGCCCATGCCAAGAGGAAGACAAGTTATTTGGTTAATATAACATGGTGCTCAGTCAAGGTTTTTACGATGATCAGGGTTCGAAACATATAGGTCATGTGTTAGAAATCTTCCGTTTGAATTGGCAAAGCCATAGAGCCAGAAAGTAGGTTAGTGGCTGCCAGGGGTTGAGGGTAGAGGGGAAGTAGAGATGGCTCCTGATGGGTGTGGAGTTTCTTTTCGGGGTGTTGAAAATGGTCTCGATTGAGATAGTGGTGATATTTGTACAACCTTGTGAATTCACTGAAAACCACTGAATTGTACACTTTAAAATGGTGATTTTTTTTGTATGTTAATTATATCTTACTTAGGTTATAATTTAAAGTATTTCAGAGTGGATAAGGAATTTAACAAATTTTATTGCAATTAAAGAGCTCCGATTGTGCCTCGTAAAAATACATCAATTAAATAAGTCCTGGGAGATGAGCTGTGAAGCATTCAGGGCTTTGTTCGCTTTGCTGGTTGGTAACAGTGCTGTATATACTGTAAGTTCTCAAATAGTGTGCGTAGGTAACAGAAGATGTTTCAAAGCGTTGTCTTAGTAACCAGCCATCTAGGGCAACAGCATTCTTTTTTGTTTTTTTCTCATTTTGAAAGGAGCCACAGAATGCTTTGCAATATTTTCATTTTCTATTTGTTCCTGAGAAGAAATCATTGAGACCCTAGCCTAATTGTGTAGACTTACTATATTTGTATTTTTTCTTCATTGGTTTTACCTGCTAAGTCATAAGAAGTATTCTTGACACTGATATGACAGTGAACAAGAGAAACAAAAATCTGTGGTAATCATTTCACAGTATATACATATATCAAATTATTATTTTGTAATGTGAAACTAATATAATGGTATTTTCTTCGTGTGGTGATTTGGGAACACAGGTTCCTTTCATCTTGAGATTGTGTCATCCCCTAGGGCCTCAGAATCCTGTTTTGGGTTAGACAAAGAGGAAGAAAGTGAAAAAGGCACTTTCACCTGTTCCTTTAAGCTTCAATCTGACAGCGGCACATGTCACTTCTGCTCTCATCCTTTTGACAAGAATTTGGCCACCTGAGCCCGCCTGGCTACACTGGGAATTGGATGGGGATATAAAATGAACCCCATGCCCTGGAAGGGGGAGCATGAGCTTTCGCAGGATGGGGAGTTGTCTCTGCAAGACTCTCCAGGGAGATCTCAGAGACAAGCAGGAGCCAGCCTTGTGGAGATCAGAAGAAAGAACATTCCAGGCAGAGGGAAAGCTAAGGTAATACAGGTTAAAGGCCGGAAACAAAGTTGAGTGAGGAAGGGAAAGTGGCCAGTGTGACCAGACTGTGGTGGGCTGTAGGTGGGTGGGGGGTGGCGTGCGGGGTGTAATCATAGCAGATGAAACAGAAAGTAAAGACAGGGCCACTTCATATCTGGGTTTTCTTATGTTTGGATTTTGTGGAGTGCTGTTAACCTAAAAATAAAAGGCTAAAGTGAGAAGCACCAAGCATTTATTTGAGATCAGAAAAGAATAGCTCTTCAGAAAGCAGTGATTCAGACAGAAGCC